GTCAATATATTTATCAGCACAGTTTAATCCTTTTTAACATTTTACTTTTCAATTACAGTTGACATTCAATATTAGCACAGTTCAATTTTTATTCCTAAAAAACATTTCTTCTTAAAAAAATAAAATGGTGTTTATGTTTAAACTTATTGACAAATAGGGACATTAAAATCAAATACTTTACATCAGTGCTTCTAAGATACACAATTTCCCACATATTAACATCTATGAAATCAAGATTCACCTAATCATCAACAATATGCCAGTTTTAGTTGGCAATATTTTTATCTTTATTATTAGCACAAAATTATTGTGTCTTATAATCAATGACATCTTAGATGTAATGAAATAAAGCACACAGTTTGCTAATGATAAACCTTACTAATACAATTTATATAAAAGTATACTTCTTAAAAATGGAACTGTAAACCTTAATTAAGTTCATAATAGTAATGTATATATCAATACTTTCTATAGATGAATGTTTCAGATTTTCGCTGAGTTTTAAGTTTAGGTATTAGGGATAATGAAATCAATGAAACATTTTATCTGCTGGGAATTTAAAAATTATAGAACGTATAGAGACTACTAATGGCATATGATTTATTAAAAATACATAATAAATTTATACATACATTTTCAAATTGCTTTATCATATGCCAAGAAACAATGAAATAAGTTCTACATTTATAGCTTATCTAAACAAATACTAAATTCCTATCATCTTGACTACTTGCAATCAGGATCTCATTAATCACTTTATTAACATAAACTACAAAGTGATCATTCCCAATTTCTGAATTCATCTGATTTTCCCCTCAGATTTTATTTCTATTATTTTCCCCTTATATTTTATTTAGACATAAATGCCCCTCTAGAGATACTAGTATGCATGTGAACACACGTTAGTTTTTTTTAATAAACACACACATACATAAGTGTATACATATGATGATAGCTAATTAATAAATGTTATTTTCCTTATACTTGAGCTTGATAAACATTTCCTAATTTAGATGTTTCTGCTTTAACTAAAGAGAAAAGCTACTTCTAGCATCTGATAACTAGTATGCCTAAAACAATAATTATCAAATTCAAAAAAAGTTTAGTCATGAAGGACTATTACAGATTAAATATATAGGGCCACAAGAACATTAAGTATCAAAGGCATTCTATCTATGTCAGTCTGATAATCTATAACACAAATAAGTAAATTCTAACTGACAACATGGAAACAATTTAAATGTCAAAGTTATAAATGTTTCATCATGTGATATTATAATATATAATTTAAAACTGAATAGAGCCTTAGGAAAATTATACTGGAAGTCTTAGAATGAATTTTATTTTAGAATTTAAGTTTCTACTATTCCTAAACCATAGTTATATCCCTGTGGTTTCAAGAAGGATTAGCCTGCCATTTGTTTTTGATTTAACAAATCAAACTCAACCATTTGTTATCTTTTAATATTTAAACTTTTATTCCTTCACTCATGCATTCATCCCATAAAATTCATTCCATCCCCATCTATTATGTACCTACTATTACTTAATAAGTTCCTGCTATTTTGCTGTTAATCTACTTGAAAGGCAGCTTGTTAGAACCTGAGTGCCAAGATATGAAGACATTAAAAAAGAAAAGGGTCATTTCTGGTCCTACCTCTTTCAGGTCCTACCTGCCACTTCTATTTCAACCTACACCCTTCCACATAACCATGGGCAACTCTTTCAAACTCAAGCGTATTTCAAACAAAATTTACCTGTCCTAGGCTCGATCCCCAGTGTGGGGGGTGTGCAGGAGGCAGCCATTCAATGATTCTCTCTCATCATTGATGTCTCTATCTCTCTCTCCCTTTCCCTTCCTCTCTGAAATCATTAAAAAAATTTTTTTTTACATTTACCTGTCCTAAATGCTATTCTAGCTAACCTGACAGAGACGTGCTCATATGGAAAAAGCCATTAAAAAGTTAACCTATTCTCCTAGCAACTGTTTTTGTTTTTGTCTGATTTTTTTTTTAACTGGTCTTATTTAGGAACAGAGCTTTAATGGAAAGAAAACGTAGGCAGATGAGTGAGAGTTTAGGTTGGAATGAAGGGTGTGGCTCCTGGCCCTGTTTTCCTTCAACAGCTATCTGCTATGTATGTTTTCAGGAAATAACAATAGCTAACATTTATTACATAAATCCCAGGTACTATTCTGTTTGCTTTAAATGTTATTAAATCATTTTATCCTCAAAATAATACAACAAGGCAAGTACTATCATTATCCCCATTTTATGTGTAAGGAAACTAAAGGTTGAAGAGATTAAGTACTTGTTAAGTCATGCTGCTTGTAAGTGACAAAACTGGAATTTGAACAAATGCAACTGGTTCCAAAGCCAAAGAATTTGAGCACATTATCATATTGCATGCCCAATCTAACTCACAGAACTGCTGTCAAGATTAAATGAGACTAAATCAAAGTGCTCTGAAAAGGACACTCTACTCCTTGTATGGTTAAAACATTAATCTATAAGTGACAGAAATAATAAAAAGGTTCAAACACACGAGTAAGCACAGGCAGTATTGGTTTTCTTCAGTTGAGTCTTCCTAGAGTACATAAAATCAAACATATGGGTTATATAAACACCAACACTGACTATGCATCAACCATACTTACTGTTTACAAATTTACTTTTAAAATTTATATTTCACATTATTGATGGTTATTCTAAAATGTATTCCCTTCAATTTTATCTGATATCAATCATTTGATATTAGCAACAGCTCAATACATTCAAAACTAATGGGAAAACAACATTTTATAAGAAAATGTTTAATATAGCATAAAATGCTATGAATTAAAATATGTAACCAAGCTATATAAATGACTCTTCACACAAAAATTTAAAACTTAGCAAGTTCAAAATTATAAAATATAATGGTTTATTGGAAAGCACAGAAATGATATACTTCAACTGACTATTATAGCAACTCTAGATGGTATATGAATTTCATTTCCAACTATACATTTTCCTCTAAAATGAAAATAACCATTGGCTTTGATAAAGTTTTACTCTAACAGCTTAATAACAATATATACGCAAGCTTCAATTTTACTTACCTGCCTACAATTTAGAAATTCCTCTATCAAAAAGTTCTACACTCTCATGATCACTTGTATTATTTCATTTTATTTTTTCCATTTTCCTTGCATTATAGTGTCCGTTACTGGCTTTTAAGAGCTTGTTTATGACTAAAGATGTTAACCATTTCTCATGCATTGCAAATGAAATACCATGTTTTTGTTATTAAACTTGTGTATTAAATATAATAAATATAATCATGTTGTTTTTCAAAAAAGCCTTATACTATCAACAGTACTTTTTAGCAACTACTCAGTATCTATCCAGTACAATTATCAGCTTATGTTTTCAAGAATGTTATCTATAAAAACAAGTACTAAATTGATCAATACTGTGCAATATTAAAATAATTTATTGTTAATCTACTTCGAACAAAAATATAAACACCACAGAATGAATCAGACACTCAACTGCAAGAAATTATTGTTCCCTACCATATCATTCCACATCTTTCAAAAAATCCACATTTCTCTATTATAATTTAATTATTTCTAATTTCCTCTAACGTACATTGTTTTTTCTTGAGCCCAGTTCACTTCTGGTATCTTTTGCCGATAGCTACCCTTCCTCCACCCCCACCACCCCCATTTAAACTTACTGTAACTTTTCAAGTTTCTCTAAAAATGCCCTCATTTTATGTGTTGTTTTTAAATATCCTTTCAAAAGTACACAACTTTGTCCAGATCTCTGACTTCAATTATGTTAACTTTCAATACATTAAAGGATTAAAATATGAGGTTTCGCAAATTAAAACTAGACATAATATTGGAAAAATAAGATACTTTCATACCAAAACCTTTAAGTATGCAAGTAGTAGAAAGTTATCTTTAAAATTTTATTTAAGCTATCTGCAAATAAAATACAAAATCAATAATATTAATTACTACTCTATTATTGCAAGAGAGCACATGTTATTTAATGGTTTGGACTGAAAGGCATCAGGACCTAACAATATAATTCAGTTTGGTGGTTGCATTTAAAATGCTGAGAATTAATTTGTTTTAAAAAACTGTGATAGTTCTAAATATCTACATAATGTATCAATAACTTCTTAAGCAAATGAAGATTTCCATAATAAGAGAATTATTTACTGGTACTTTCTTGTGTGGGGAAAAAAGGAAAAGAGTAAATACTTTTCATATAAAGCCTGCAAAAATGACCAAATATTCTGCAAAAACAATTCTAAACTATATTAACCTTAGGTTGTTTTTACCCTTGCATATAAAACAAACATACATATAGAACAAATAATACTTACTACATTTTATTTTTTAAAAATGTATTAGATAATTTGTCAAATAAAAATGCTTAGGATTAATATATCCTCCTAGAGCAATTCTTTGTCCTTGTATTTCTCTTGGAGCATTAATCCTCACCTGGCCTCTTGATTACATGAATTAAATAAGAAAGACCGTAAGAGCCAGAGGGCTGCTTACTGTTGATTAAAATAGTCTTAGTTTTCATGCCATTCCATTTAGTCAAAGGTTATGAGAAAATTTTGTATTTCATGTTTCCAAAGTATAAGGTGCCCAATGGAGTATGACTGAGAGCTTAAAAGATCTTATAAAGAATTTTAATGCATGTTCTGTAAAGAAAGTAAATTTGAAACTGGAACAGCAATATGAATTTAGTTTTGCTTGTTTTTCTTTTTATGTTTGATATACAAATATTTTCCTTTAAAATTCCTTTTACTAATATTAACTTAAAAAAGAAAGCTATGTTCACAGAATGATAAAATTTAGTAGATCCTGGAATACTACCTAATTCAGTCAAAAAAGAAACAGTACACATAGTCTCTAACAACTGAAAACTCCAAAGTGGGAGAAAACTCATCACATGCACATCAAAGGAATTAAATTTGATTCTTAACCAACTTACCCAATTTTTGACTTCTCTTTTAACTTAGAACAAGTTCTTGCTTTTTTGCTCTCTTTGTCCTTTGGCTTGGCTTTCATCCTTCTGCCTCTCTTCTCCTCTCTTCCTTCAACTGAAGCACTAGGAAAGTTCTCAGGGCTCATGACTCGTGGGATATTGCGCTCCCCACGCTCCTTTGCTTTGGCTATGGCCTCTGATATTATACGATTGGCCTTTTCTTGCTTGCTTTCTGATTCCACCTTTTTTCTCTGCTTCTTCTCGGACACGATCCTCACCTGGGTATTCTGCAACTTAGTGTATGTCCCAGAACCATCATTCTTCTTGGAAGACGGAGGCTAGAGAAACCAAAATATTATTTATACAACATACCAGAGTACACAAAAAAAACAATGAACATAAATATCTGAATATTTTAAATTAGGCTTAAAGAAGTGACAAACATGAGCAAATATGTGAGTGTTACAAATTGAAAATTCAAACATTTTGCTAGTCTAGAAATTAGTGTAGGTATGAAATAAAAAGCTCAACTAGTTCTTTTAAAAATGAAGGTTAAAAAAGGATAATACAGATTCACTGAATTTTTCACAGTATTCTTGATTAGTTGATTCAAATTTTATCCTGCAAATATGTTATACATTTGGAATTTTTTAAACAGTCTTTTCTTTCTTCTTCATTCCAGAACTCTGAAAATTATTAATACATTTAAATTAGCAATTTTAACACAGAATGGCTACTCCTATTATAATTGTTAGAAAAATAAAGCCTCTGGTTTACAAGAAAATAGAACTAGAACCTGAAACATTGAAATAATTTTAATGTGCAATCTAGGCAGCAACATAGCTAGTTAGTAAACATTCCCATACTTAAAATTAGAGAAAGTTTTAGTTTTTCCGTGAAAGAGTTAAAATGTGTCCCTCCCCCCCCTTTCTATATCACAATTATTTTGCTCAAGCAATTCTGGGGGGAAAAAACAAGTTTTATAGTTTTATGTTAAAATTATTAATATTTAGCAATATCACAGGAAGCAGATCAACAGCATTTTTAAAAGAATATCCTCTTTAAACACACATTCATCCACATATAGATCACAGTTTTGTTATGTTCTTACCCGTAAACATGCCTCTGACTATAGCAAAGGAAAAAACCACCAGGAATTTCCAAACACATTTTCATGCTGATTCCAGTGGGCTTCACTGGATATCTTTTCTATACCTGCCTCATCAAAGGTTTCATCTCAGTGCTGCAGCACTGGGAGAGGAAGGAAGGCTTAGAATCGCTCACTAAAATGCCACCTTAAGGCCTACAGGCTATAACAAATAACCAAGACTCGAGAAAACAGCAACAAGCTCAAGATGGCGATGCAGTACGACTCCCGCAGCAGCAGCCAGTAATAAGGAAGGTTATTCAATCCCATTAGCCTTTTAGCCCAAAGAACCCCTCCTCCTCCCACTCATTCAGGCTTTCACTTACCCTTCCTCTTGGCCTCTTCACTGAAGACATTTTTGGCGTCAGACAAAGGCTTGCCCTCTGCTTTTTCACCACCCCAGGCAGTGCTCAAGAAAAAAGCATTGAAAGATTCCTAAATGGCCTATTTAGCAAGCTGCAACCAAGAGATGCACAACCCCTCCACAAATACACATTGTGATTGATCAACACATTTCTGCCTTAGCAAGTTTATCTCCACTGTTCACCCTATTTAGATATGAAAAAGGCTGTAAAGTCCTCCTGAAAAGCTGAGTTCCCTCAATAGCTATAAGCAGATAGCCAGATTCCAACAAAGCACAGAAAGAAATGCATGCACAAAGCATCAAAATGCATCAGCATGAATATTAGAGATGTCGTTAAAAATACTGACTCCTTCTGCGGAAGTAGGCCAGCAGATGGTGCTACCAGTTATTATTCCATTAGACTCTGCAATTTAACCCCCAATGGACTGTTCTTCCTTCCATGTAACACATTAACTCTCAATCTGCCATTTCCTGCAGCCAAGTTTTTAAAAATATACATTAAAAACCTGACTTTTAAAAATCATCTGAAAACTAAAACGATGGTGAAATAGCTTTCTTTACGTAGCTATTGGTATTAAAAAACAAAACCCAATGCAATTTTTACTGGAGAAAAACACTTTTCCTCATGATACCCTAAAATATTTCAAATATAAAAATAGCTAAAGGCAAACAAAGGGTTAAAGAGCAGGTCATGCAAATGAACACATAGCAAGTGACTTCTCTTTAAGAAATTAGATAAGGTCTCCTATGATTCTTCTAACAATAAGCTAACAATGCTATTTTCAAAATAGAGAAATTAAGCTATTTTCATTTAAATTCTAAAAAGAATTTTAAAGTGAACTCACCAGAGTTGTCTATAAAGAATTACTAACCACACTTAAATTTTTCCTTAAATGTGAACACATTAATTTTCCTAAAATAAAAATATAAAATCTTCCTAACCTTTGCCCCTCATATTCCATTTTAATTGCATTGCTGAGTTTTTCAGATAAATTTTTAATTTTAGTTCCTTGCTAAAAATAAGTAAGTAGGCAAGTCCACCTGAACTTGTTCATCAGTACAACTTTTCCTTCCATAAAAATTTGAGACTATTTTAGTAAGCGGTGTCCTTAAGTATCTGAAACATAATTTTCACTGCTTAAAATTTAAGTTTACCTCTTTCATTGATACTAATTTCTCATTTGGTCGTGGCAAGTCATCTGTTATCTCTATCAAAGAATCCTTTTTAATTTTTTTTTTTTAATTTTAGGCATCGGAAAGTCTCAAAACCGAGTAATACTATATGAACAGTGTCCTAGAAAGACCAATCTGGACAGCAGGAGAGAAAATTAAAGACAGAGGACTGACTACTAATGGCAAGGACAGGTTCTGAATGACCTGAGAGGTCATCTATGTAAAAATCACAATGACCAATAATAAGGGCGAATGCTTACCAGGTGCTTATTTTATCAAGTGCCAGGCACTATTCTAAGCATTTTGCATGTAATAACTAATTTAATCCTGAGTGATAATAGGGTTATAGTGACAATATAGTAGCAAATGGGAGACATACTCCTAGAGCAGAATTGCAAAATGATAGAAACTAAGAGCAAAGAATTTAAAAAATCGTAACAATAACAAGAGATAACACTTGTTTAGTCCTTACTTTGTGCCAGGTACTATTACTAATATTACATATATAGTAGGTCAATTTATCTTCGAAACAATCCTGTGAGAGATGGACTACTATTAACCTCATTTGATAGCTGAGGATATTTAGGCATAGAGAAGTGACTTGCCCAAGATCACACAGCTACTGAATGATTGAGCAGGGATTAAAAGGCAGAGAGAGCCTCATTATGAAAAGCATGCTCTTAACCACTATATCATATTTGGTTCAAATACCATAATTTAGAGGGACTAATTTGAACACAGAAAAAAGTAAGTGACTTTCTCAAAATTGCAAAGAAACTAGCAATAAAGCTAGGATGAAATTTAGGTCTTATCACTGCCCTTTCTAAGATGTAGAAAGCAACTACATATGGAGGGCAGGGAGAGTCAATATTTGGTTTCTAGAATAAGTAACTGGTACAGAAGGCAAAAGAAATAGAAAATCTAGTTGATAAAGGGTGTGTATGTGTGTGTGGCAAGTTTAATTATTTTTACACTGAATTTGAAATGGAGAGCTCCAGTAACTGGAAATTTAGAATTGGATTCTCAGAGAGGACAGGTCTAGAATACCAGATAGGGAATCTTCTGCTGTTTTCTCATTTCTGTAAATATTCCCAATAGATTCTATTATTTTACTCAAAATCTAAATGACTTAACATTAAATCTTAATAGTAGACAACAGGGAATCTATGATTAAATATTCTTCTATTAGAAAACAATATTTTAAAACTATATTCCCACAGATCAACATTGAGGTGTTAAATAAACATTTTCAATTCACACATACGTTCAACATACAAAAGAGTAGCTGCTAGACTTTTTTCAATGTTATATTTTTTCTCCCTTTACCCTACATAAGCACTACTCAAATTCTGTCAAATGCCCTGACCGGTTTGGCTCAGTGGATAGAGCGTCGGCCTGCGGACTGAGGGGTCCCAGGTTCGATTCTGGTCAAGGGCATGTACCTTGGTTGTGGGCACATCCCCAGTAGGGGGTGTGCAGGAGGCAGCTGATCGATGTTTCTCTCTCATCCATGTTTCTAACTCTCTATCCTTCTCCCTTCCTCTCTGTAAAAAATCAATAAAATATATTTAAAAAAAAAATTCTGCCCTAACTGGTTTGGCTCAGTGGATAGAGCGTTGGCCTGCGGACTGAAGGGTCCTGGGTTCAATTCCGGTCAAGGGCATGTACCTTGGTTGCAGGCACATCCCTAGTAGGAGGTGTGCAGGAGGCAGCTGATCGATGTTTCTCTCTCATCGATGTTTCTAACTCTCTATCCCTCTCCCTTCCTCTCTGTAAAATCAATAAAATAGATTTTAAAAAATAATAAAAAAATTCTGTCAAACTACTTAATTGTATTTAGTTTTGTTTTCTTCTTAGTCCCAACAGTCCTGCTGTATTAAGTTTCCACTTATTAAGATTACATTGTAGTTACTTAGAAAATATTCTCTTATCCACAGAAAATATACACTAAAGTCTTTGAGGGTGATGGAACATCAGCCTTGTACTTTACAATTATTTACAAAATGAAAGAATTTCTTTGTATTTCACTTGTGATTTTTTTCTGTAAAGTTGTCAGTCTCAAAATGTCAGTTTTTTAAAATTTAAAATTAAGGCAAAGGCCTTTGTCCCAAAGAACCTATATGCTAAGTAAGAAAAAATATAAAAGAAGGTGAAGATACATATATTAATATCATCTCCAAAATTTCTAAGAAAAAGAAATTATAGCAAAACATAAGGTGATATCTTGTGATATATTAATTATTTTGAAAGCAACCGGGAGGAACATATGAAAGACCTGGACACATTACAATATTGGAGAAACTCAAGGATTTATGGTATGAGTGTTTTTCAAACCACAGGTCATGACCTAAAAGCAAGACATGATATAAATTTAGTGTGGTTAGAATAACATTAAAAAATGAAATAGAAGGGAATGAAAAAGGATGACATCTAATCTTTATGAATGTTAACTCTTACAAAATCAGAAAGTTTTCATACCACCTGTTATCTTCTTTCCCTTCATGAAAGAACAAAGCAAAGAGATTTTGGCAAGAAACCAGAGGTGTTAAAATCTGAGTGGGGACTCAGGTCTCTTCCCTCTTGGTGGAATAATTTTCCCACGTACTCTACCCCCACACTGGGGAATTCATCAAATTTAAATATTTTAGTTGTAT